TGGGTTGCCATGGGCTACCGTGTGTAGCCGGCAGCCAGCGTGAGCGGCCAGCGGCTGCAGTGAGTGGCCGTCCAGAGGCCGGGGACTGATCTGCCTCGCCCTGGAAGAGCGCAATGATGGTGCCAGCTTGGGCCGGTGGAGCAATGTCCTCCACAGCTGGACTGAAAAACAAAACGACAGCAACTTGTCTGTTCCCATCCCCCCAATTCCCCAATAAAAATCTTAAAAAAAAAAAAAAAGACAGACAAAGAGTTTCCCACAGAAGAAAAACCTAAAGGAGTCCCTCACCACCAAACCAGGACTTCTTTAAGCAATAAATAAACAAATAAATAATAAAATGGCAATAACTACATATCTATCAATAATTACTTTAAATGTAAATGGGTTAAATGTTCTGATCAAAAGATACGGTGGTTGAATAGATACAAAACAAGACCCTTACATATGCTGCCTACAAGAGACTCACTTCAGATCAAAAGACACACACACACAGACTGAAAGTAAAGGGATGGGACAAAGATATTTCATGAAAATGAAAATGGAAAAAAAAGAAAGAAAAAAAAAAAGAAAGAAAGCTGTAATAGCAATACTCATATCAGGCGAAATAGACTTTAAAACAAAGGCTATAACAGGTGACAAAAAAGGATCCAGTAACCCCACTTCTGGGAAGTTGTCTCAAGAAACTCAAAACGCGACTTTGAGGGGACATGTGCATCCATATGTTCACTGCAGCATTGTTTACAATGGCCAAGATGTGGAGGCAGCCTGGGTGTCCATCGATGGATGAATGGACAAAGACTAGGTGGTACATAGGAATACTGCTGGGCCATGGAAGGGAATGGGTTCCTACCATCTGCGGCAGCATGGATGAACCTGGAGGGTGCTGTGCGGAGTGGAGTATGTCAGACAACGAAAGACAGATCCAATGTGATTTTGCTTATTTGAGGAATCTAAAGAGCAAAATAAATAAACAAACAAAACAGAACAAACTCATAGATACAGAGAACATTTTGATGGTTGCCAGACAGGAGGGAGGTGGAAATGGGTGAGAAAGGGGAAGGGAAGGACAAACTGGTTGTTACACAGTGGTCATGGGGACGTAGGGTGCAGCATAAGGAATAGAGTCAATGATACTGTAATGACTACGTGTGGTGTCAGATGGGCACTCGATTGGTTGGGGTGATAGATGGGAGATGGTTGGGAGGCAGGGTGAAAAAGGTGAAGGGGTTAAGAAATACAAACTGGTAGTTACAAAATAGTCACAAAGATATAAAGTAAAGCACAGGAAATATAGTCAATAATATGGTAATAACTATGTATTGTGCTAGGTGGGCACTAGACTAGTCAGGGGGATCACTTCTTAAATTATATAAATGTCTAACCACTATGCTGTACACTTGAAATTAATACAAAATAATACTGAATGTCAACTGTAATGGAAAATTTTAAACAGAGAGGGGGAAAGGTGAAGGGAAATAAGAGGTTCAAGTTTCCAGATATAAAACAAATAAGTCATGGGGATGTAATACACAGCCTGAGGAACATAGTTAATAAAATTGTGATAGCATAGTACAGTGGCAGATGGTTGCTGGACTTACGGTGATCACTTCTTTGGGTATATAAATGTTGAATAACTATTGTGTATACACAAACTAATGTATTGTATGTTAGCTATACTTTAATAAAAATCTTTAAAAAATAAAAGGTATTTTAAATACCAAAAAATAGTCTAGGAAAAAATTACAATATTTAGTATATATGGCTTCCCATTGGGGCTCTTAATATTACAAACTATTTTAATGGGTATTAATATTACAACCAAGGTGTCAATTCCATCCTCCTCTGCTGCCTAGCAGAGATTGCATTTTATAGTCTGAAGACATTTAGAAGTTTTGAAGTGATAATCAAAATTTTTCTTTAATATTTTCTATTTTATTCATTGTCAATTGATTTAAGGTCACATACCATTGTCCAGTCTTATATTCCACACTTTAAACATTTCCCTACACCAATTTATAATTTGAAAATATTTATAGTTTGTTACAGTCAATATACCTTAGAAAACTCTTTCTAGCAATTAATTGTAATTAACTTCAAAGGGGCTAATACAGCATTTACACTACTTTGGTTACTGAAGGTCACAGTCATGAAAATGTAGTAAAACAGAGTCATTTCATAATTCAGAGGTACAGTTTTACTTATTTAACTTGGAAAAATAACAGCTATGCTTTTCTTAAAAAGCACATTAAATCGCACAACTAACCTTATATATTATAATTTTTGGATTAATTCCTTTTGACAAGGTACATGAAAAAGAAGAGATGAAAGCATCTGTATTTCCTTGCTAGTATGCACTTTACCTTTAACTGTAATGATTTAGTAATCAACTAATTTCTATGCATGTGAATTATTTGATTTTTTATCATTTGGGGAGGGTCTTCTTACACTGATCAGTTTAGCTCTCGGCCCTCACATACTCTCAATCTCCTACCAGCTGACAAGTTCTCATGTTATCCTTTATTCTGGAATAGGTAACTGTAATGGTTATCTAAATAAGCCGAAATAAACTACAGCCCAAGCGTACACATTAGGTTAGAGTGATTTGTGGACTCATAAAACCTCTGTGTCCCGTTCTTCATAATCACGTTGTTTTCCAGTTCCCTGTGGGCAAACCCCACCCGACAATACAGTTCAGGTAACTGGATCTGGGTTTGCTCACTTGTGCTCGAGTCCCAGGCTTCACTCCCTGTTTGGGGTGACAGATTGAACAGAATGGCTTTAATTTCCCTCAAGCTCTGAGGTTCCATCTCACAACCATGTCCTAGTGCCTGGTCTTAGGGACAACAGGCAAAGACACAAACGTCTAGAACAAATAACACTTTTCTTCCTCCTGACTGCCAAAACTCACCTATGTATACAATCCTTACTACTGCTGAAATTCAAGCTCGACTTTGCTGAAGGTTTGTGTTTCAACAAAACAATACTCTCATTGACCTGTGCTATTGCTATACGCATGCAAACAATACGACTATATAATCTAGAAGGTGTCTTGTTTCTGTTTCCCTTATATATCATTTTATTAATTTACAAGGCAATCTATTTTCATCGCGAAAACATTTACATTCCACCTCTAAGGATTTCTTACCCAATAGCATTCTGATGTTATGCAAATAATGATTTAATTTACAAGAAGTCAGTAGGCACACAATTGAATTACAAAAATTCAGTTTACATTCCTTTGCTTTTTGCTTTCATGGGATTCATACCGACTACATAATAAAATGCAATTCCCCTTAGCTAGCAAAAAAAGACCCTTTACAATTATCTATATATTTCTATCACTCCCTCACACAGT